GCGAAGATATTATACGCCTCTCCGGCTCCCCCCCCCCTGCCATGGGCAGGGACCCCTTCCACTTGAACAGGTTGCTCCTCAAACCCCTGTCCAACCTGGCCTTGAACCCTAATGTCTAATATAAACCGGCCAGTTTAAAGCCATTCCCCTTGTCCTGTCCCTCCATCCCTTGTCCAAAGCCCCTCTCCAGGTTTCCTGGAGCCCCTTTAGGCACTGGAGCTGCTCTAAGGTGTCCCCTTCAGGAGCCTTCTCTTCTCCAGCTGCCCCTGCCCAGCTCTCTCAGCCTGGCTCCAGAGCAGAGCTGCTCCAGCCCTCGCAGCAGCTCCGTGGCCACCTCTGGATATGCTCAAACAGTAAATTTTCATTTTAGAGTTTATGTAACAATATGTATGTTCATGATGTGTCAATTTATCTAAATGGTGGAGGCAAAGCCAAGACACAGGGGCTGCCCACAGCAATGCAGTGTCACTTCTCCTCTGCAGCTGCTCCTCAGAAGCTCCTGCAATAGGAATGCAACCAGACCAGGGCTCCCAGCACCTCCCAGCCCAACAGTGAGCCAGAGAGCTTCCTGAGCCCTGCAGCACAGGTAGAACAGGCCTGGTCTCTACCCCATGCTGGGTTTCCAAGGAGCTTCCTAAAGGAATGTACAAGGGGAAACTCTAAAATCCTCTCCCATTGGAAGTCCCCAGAACAGATCCTGGCAGCAGCCCTGGTGATGTCATGACACCATCACATCCAACAGACAGCTCAAAATACTCCAGGTCACAATGGGGTTTGAGACACAGCCAGCCCTGGGCCCCTATCAAAAAGACGCACTGGCACCGACTGGCACAAGAGGAGACGGGCGAGCAAAGGCTCAGAGGCTCCAACATACCCACTGTAGCTATGCCCCATCCTCAGCCTACAGCCAGCCAGAAGCTGACCACAGACGTTCTGCACAGGCACAGCTACAGGACCCACTGGAACTGTCCCACACCCAGATCACAGGAAGAGCTCAAAGGTGCCCAAAGGCACTCTCGTTGGGAGCTCCACAACATCCACATTCATCATACCCTGTCACACTCCTAAAGCCAGGGAGAAGGCACCCAAGGACACTGGCAACAGCAGCGCTGCTACAGCACCATGGCTGGAACTATTCTGGTCCCACAGGCAGCTGGTAAGAACAGTTGGGCAGATGAGGTTTTGGACACCAAAAGAGATGTTGGCACCAGTCCAGCTCTTCTCCTGCCCATGGAAGAGGCAACAGAATGCTCATCGTAGGCCTCAAGCAGGTACAAAAAGGGCTGCACCAGCCCAGACTGGCAGCACAGGAGGCACGAGAGGGAGGGCTGAGAGCAGAGGCCATGCAGGGAAAGGCCACGGCAATGCTGGGGCTGCCCACAGCAATGCAGCATCACTTCTCCTCTGCAGCTGCACCGGACAATTCCGCACCAGCTCCAGGAGAGGGATGCAACCAGACCAGGGCTCCCGGCCTCTCCCAGCCCAACAGTGAGCCAGAGAGCTTTCTGTGCCCTGCAGCACAGGTAGAACAGGCCTGGTCTCTACCCCATACTGGGTTCCAAGGAGCTTTGTAAAGGAATGCTCAAGGGGAAGCTCAAAATTCTCTCCCATTCAAAGTCCCCAGAACAGATCCTGGCAGCAGCCCTGGTGATGTCATGGCAAAGGCAACTCCAGCACACCTGGACCACATCACAAGGGACCAAGTGACACGCTGTGCCCCAGGCCCTGTGACAAGGCTGCAGGAACCGAGACCGGCACAGGAGGAGACGGGCAGCAAAGACTCAGAGGCTCCAAGAAACCCACCTATCTGTGCCCCTTCCCCATCCTACTCACATGAGAAGGTGCCAACGCACATGGCCAAGGGATGGTCCCACCACCTAAAGTATCTCTTCCCCATCCAGGCCCCACTGGCAGCCAGAAGGTGCCCGGAGCAATGGACACTGGGACCCACGCAGCATCTACAGGATCTCTAACACATCCTCCTTCAGAAGCCTACGAGAAGGTGCCCACAGCAAACTGACAGCTACAGCTACTCATAGAAGTCTTCCACACCCAGGTCTCTCATGTAGCCAGAGAGCGCCTGCACCCATGGAGAAAGGGGCGTCTGTAACACCCACTGTTTCAGTAAGCTCGTCCTCATCCTACAGACAGCCAGAAGGTGCCAAAGCTCAGAGAATCATAGAATAGTTAGGGATGGAAAGGACTTTAAGATCATCTAGTTCCAAACCCCCTTGTCATGGGCAGGGACACCTCGCACTAAACCATGTCATGGCCAAAGGAGGGTCTCACCACCTAAAGTATCTGGAACCCATCCAGGCCCCACTGGCAGACAGAAAGTGCCCGTAGCCATGGACAATGGGAGCTCAGCAGCACCCACACGATCTCTAACACATCCTCCCCCAACAGCCTAAGAGAAGGTGCCCAGAGCAAAGCGAGAGCCACAGCCACTCATGTACCTCTTCCACATCCAGGTCTCTCCTGCGGCCAGACGGTACCTGCACCCATGCAGAAAGGGACTTCTGCAACACCTACTCTTTCCTTAAAATTGTCCTCATCCTAAAGACAGAAGATGCCTGCGCTCCTAAGGAACAGAGATGTAAACCAGCCGTTGTACATTTCCCTCATCCAAGTCCAGCAGTAAGCTTAAAGTTGTCCACAGCCATGGATAAAGGGACCTCTGTAGCCCTTACCATGTCCGTACCCTGCCTATGACCTTAGAGAACATGCCCACAGCTGTAGGCAAAGGCAGAGTTACACCACCCAATGTAAGTGTACTGCAGTCAGGTTACTAGATCCATGGACACTGGGAGCACCCAACACTCACCACCTCTGTAACATGCTACGATCCCACAGGCAGCTGGAAGGAACATGTAGCCGTGGATAAAGGGATGTCCACAACACCCATCATATCTGTAGTACATCCTCATTCTTTCAAGAGCCCAAAGGTGCCACACTCATGGGCAAAGGAGGAGCTCCAAACCCCACTGTATCTCTCCCCCATCCAGGTCCTGCAAGCAGCCAGATGATTCCCGCAACGTGGTCAATGCCTTCGTAGAGCGTTTTACAATCTCTTGTAACCTAAGAGGTGTATCAGTGTGGAAATTGACAACATGCTTCTCAAATACATTAAAATAGCACTTCTGATTTACATTATTTTGCTCTCCAGTATCTTGACACAGCATTACATACTTCTCTAACAGGATACTATTTGGTATTCTAAATATAGTTACATGGAAGATATGGACAGAAAGCAAGCTTTTTGTAAGATAAAGATGGGTTTTTCCCCAGTGTTTGAGGTTGTTCAGGGCTATTTCCCCAAGTTTATAATTCATCTTAAATTAGTTTGTAGAATCAAGTGAAAAGTCAGGAGAATTTAGAAGTTCTAAGTGGAACTCTGAATTCTATAGAGTCTACAAAGTTCCAGTTATGCCCATTAAACTAAAAAGGCATTAAATGTATCTAAAGGAACCCCAAACCAAAAAGAAACAACAGTCCCCCCCAATATAAACCTCAACACAAATGGAATTCCTTCCATCTACAGTTCACACTACTATCTGTATGTCCATCTTTTGGGTGGATGACTGTTCTGTTGTGTCTGTTGGCCAAGACATAGTGAATACAAATAGAACACCCCCAGACACAGTCAAAACCACTAGCAAAGCCTTCGCTTCTTGCACAGCAAAACTAACATCAGAAATAGTCTGTAACATAAAGAAAATGAGTAGAAAGAGCTGAGAGGCTCAAGAACTTTCTTGACTGTATAGTAACGTTGATTCTAAGTCACTAGGGCTGCTGAAGATAGTTTTAAAGCCTTCATGAATCCAGAGATAAAGTAATTTAATCTCTCCAAAAAGGCAAGAAAAAATGAAGCACTTGCAGTGTATTCCTGTCACAGTCATGCAGTATAACATACAAAAATTCATATGAATAGGCAAAGTACCACACATATACACAGACACATGCATGTATACACTTGAAAACCAACACAAATACATACACAGTAAAAAACTAGTTACATATGAGAGCATCTACATTAAATGAATTCATCCTGCTCTCTTTCCAAGTATTTTCAAGTATTTCCTTTCATGCTGAACCCAGATGTTCAGTCTATTGTTACAGACTATAGTACCCCACACATAAACTGGCCTCATTCCAGAGTCAGAAATCAAATTTGCAAGATAATGGGACAGTAAATCACAATTTTTTTGCTCCTTAGAGGTAGGAGTGAAGAAACACCCATATCCTCACAAAATCCTGACACCAATCTATGGCAGCTACTGCATTTTGTCCTGAAAACCAAGGTTGCCTCAGGAGATAGCCCAGGCTGTGGGACCTCTGGTGATTCAGAAGGACAGGAACATGCAGAGAAATATTTGTCCCCTTCTGTACCTCGCAAGCACCAAAACTCCATGAATCCCCTATTTAGAGGATTCATTTGTAAATGGAAGCTCAGACTTAATAATTTGGGAATTAATTCAGGACAACATTTCCTTCAAAGGAGGAAACAACGGCTCATGTCTTGTATTACGTGACACAAACGCACCAGGAGCTAGGTATATTTTCCCCTGATCATGTCACAGGCACATGTGGTTTGCTCTAAGAGAGGCCCAGGACCAATACGTCAAGGAAATCAGACACTTGGGATTAGCTTCTCCCAAAGAGACACTAAGGGAATACGCTGAGATACACCACAGTGGAGCAACCTACTTCTGGCTGACATCAGTGGAGTTTCCAGCTTTCCACTGGTTTCAGTAGAAGGTGACAAACTATGCAGCCAAAAAAGGCACTGAGGGACCATCAGGCCAAGTGATGGCAGAGAAGTCGATGACTTCATACATGGCAGATGATGTCCTTCACTAGTTTCACCACAGAATAGAAATGTATGACACTGGAAGATTTTAAGTTCTTACCTGTTCTTTTATTTCTGTCCACGTAACAATACTTGATTTCATAATCTTTAAATAAGTCATGGATTTCCTGAAAGAGAAAAGTACAAGTAACATCAGATACATAACTCAATGGACCACATAAGTGTATAAATGTATCTTCATTTAAAAAAACCCAAACTAAACAAAAAACTTTCCCAATAAACAGAAAATTTTACCATAGAAACACTACCAAACATTTGTTTTTAGAGCTGGTTATACTACTGCAGCAATCATATGAAAAACTGGCTTACTGAGTTCGATTTATTTACTTTTCATTCTATAAAGTCACATAAGCACAACAGGGTCTCCTGTTGAGTGTCTTTTCATAAAGATAAATAACATCACAGCTCATTAAATAGCAAAACCCTCGCAATGTCTCTGAGGCACAGCTAAAATACCACACAGGCAAGAAATACCGGCAGCATCACATCATGCAGTTTACTGCGGGCAGGCAATGCTCTCTTGAAACACAACAGTTGCTCTGGTTTCCTCTAAGTGCTCAAGTTCACTTTAACAGATTTTACTCTTTCAATAAATATTCTTTCAACCAGCAGATAGCTAATTGCATCTAGAACACCCCCTGGAAAGTATCTTCTATCAGTTACTGCACAGATGCTCAATGAGGAATCAATCCCAAGAGCATTATTTGCTCCTACTGATTAATGGGAAGAGAGTAGGAGTGTGGGAGGGGTGGTATAGAAGCAAGTGTAAGAAGTGTGTACCAGTTTGCTATAGCTACTCCTCACCAAGAGCAAGGTGTATGCACATGCCCAACAAAACTTATGTTTTAGTTCAGTGGTGAGAATGCAGAGATGAGAATTAATCCTCCCCAAGAAGAAACCATGAGTAGTAACCCAGATTGGTTTAGTTGGATAAATCCCACACACAACAGCAAAAGGCCATTTGAGTAAGCAAAATAACCAGCTTTGTGTGAAAGTTTAACTGCAGCCCATTTCCAGCTGCCCAGCCTACATGCCAGTTTACTAATTCAATATATATAGTCTAAAGGTTAATTGGGTTCTCTGTGACCAGTATCAGGTATATACCTTTTAGTCAAGCGAGCACCAATCTCTAGTTTCAGTACTTAACAGCTGTCAAATACTGCATTAATAAAATATGGCAGCGTTTCTCCAGCTCCCAGACATTCTCTGATAGGATGTGATGAGGATGTGGCTTCTGAAGAGCAAAATAGGCCAGGCACAATTCAAATATTCAAGGCCAGCAGGAGATTTGACTGTAGCCATCTCTCTAACAATAATTAGAGGTTAGTTCTTCTCAGTCATGAGAGGCTGAGAAGACGCTTTGCACAGTTTTGTACAGCTCAGCTGTATTGTGGCACTGAACACTCCAAAAAAGTTATTTCTGTTCCACTTCAAAAAAAGGGGACACACTGACCTTTTATATTTCCTATATTATATTACAAAAGTAACTCTGAAAGTTTCATAGGATTAAGTAGCAGGAAATATTCTTTCAAATGGCTCTGAACACTGTTTTGAAAGTCGTCTGTGAATCAGATGATTGCACATGATTTCCCAGCAACTGTTTGAAACTTGAATTGAGAGGGAAAACAGCCTGCACTGAATACATCTTTGTGGACAATTATGAGGTCTCATGTGAAAAATGATGAAAACATAAGGAAGACTTGAAATGAAAACCTAATTTAAGGTGCCTGGTCTTGTGCTCTCATGGTCCCCATGGCAGGGCTCAGACCTTTACCTCTGGAACTGGGTTTTGTTGTATTTCACTGAAAGCATTTTTCACAGAAAGTCTGTTTGTGACAATTAACAAAAAGAAAACACACTGTGCCAGCTCTTGAGCAAATGTATATTCCTTCAAATCAAATAGCTATGTAAATACCTGTGTGCATTAGACTAAGGTTCTTCATAATATTTTCATAATTACTAAGCCAGCTTTTGAACTGAGGCACTTCTCTAAACTTTACCTTCAACATCTCTCAACACTTGGGTCTGCTGGAGAAGAATGAACACTACCATGGTTTTATTGTTGTAACAGTTTCTATTCCAGACAGCTGAAAGACAGAACCATCAGGGAAAACAACAAGAGCACTTTACCCGCTGCTCCTAAGCAGGTTCTGCTGTATGCCACCAAACAGTGTGCACCAACAGCAGTGAATGCAGTTGGTCCCTTTGGTGTACGCAGCTACCCGGTATTTGGGCCATGAAGGAGTGTTTACTCCAGGAGGAGAAACGAGTCATCCAAGTCAGGTGTATTCCCTGGTGCGACCCTGTTAACTTGCACGGAATGTAAGCAGAGGGCTGTTTCCCTGAGCACAGCAGAAACAAACAGCCGCAGTTCATTCCCATTCCCATTCCCAACCTCCCACTGGCTCATGCACCCGGAGCACCCGGCCTCCACACCCCTGGCCAGCTACATCAGCCCTCTCCCCACGCTAGGACCTACCACCACCACGGCACAAATCCATGGACAATCTGTCACCCCTATGCTCTGCTGCAGGACAACCTTTCACCCTCCCCACGTTACCCTTAACATGGTGTAGCTCTGTGCTGGGCGACAACACAAGCGCTCACCACTTCCTATTACATGAGGTTTAGTAAAGCTGTAGTAGTAAACTCAGCAGTGGTATCACATGTGAGCAGTGGCTGCCATCCCCAGTGCCAACACTTTGCCCATGGTCACAACATCCACGTCCAAACCACTTGCTGACCACTGTTGGTATTTTTTCCACATAACATTTCCAATACTGCTTCTCCTAAAGGATTTTTTCCTCTTCTATAAAGGAATCAATCTACTAGTCTAAAACCCCAAAAGTTTCTATAACTTCTCAAGTTCACTTCAACAGATTTTCGTTCTTTCAATGAATATTCTTGCAACCAACAGATAACTGTGCCCAGAATACCCCCTAGAAAGTACCCTCTATCTTTTATCATTAATAATCAGGATTTAACTGGTTTAACTGCACCATATTAAGTCTAAACAAAATGGCAACATCACCAGCATGGTGCAGGACACACACTGAATGTCAGGCTAGATGATAATATTTTGACACCTAAACATGTAAGCAGCTGTAAAGCCATGTGGCAGATCCACAGCAGTTGTGGATCCTGTGAAGTTTCTAACACAAACACTCTTTATAGAGGTGCCTATTGTGGCTCCAAGGAGCAATCTGTAGTTGGCTCCTGAATCTGATGTAGAAATTGGCACCAACTCTTGGGCATGGAGGTGTGTTTGTGCCCGAGCAGTCCCTGACAGCCAGATCCCAGGGGATGTGTCCCTGGGCAAAGAAAGGATGATACATGCTGCAGGAAGGGAGAGGAGGAAAGGAAACAGAGGAGAGGGTTTGCTCAGAGTAACAGTACTTGCATAAACACGTGGGCCATGCCAGCGGCTCTAATTAAATATCTTGGAACAGAAATGTAACCTATAATACTTAGCTACTATACAGCCCCTTAAACCTTCAAAGTTCTTGTAACCAGACTTTGAAAGGTAGTTAATCTTAGCATCTGTAGATATTAAAACCCTAACTAGAAAATAATCAGCTCATACTTCAAAATCAGCAGAAAAAGCAAAACCTGCTACATTCAAGGGAGTTTAAGAGAAACCAGTAGTAAATACAGGCTGAATATGCTTTAAAATGTATTAGTTTTTACCGTAAGAAAAGTGGTCTTGAAATACTTCAGTTCTTGGCCTGTCCTGTCTTGTCTTGGGTAGGAAAACGTCAACAGTTTTTATCATGTACCATCAGTTTGAAATTCGCCTCTCTCGAACAGACAGAATTCCTGCCTCCGAGAGGATCCGCCCCTATGGTTCATCACCTGCACTGCTTTAAATGCAAAGAAAGGGAGTCTTTGACAGGCACATTTGCCCTATCTATCAAATTAATAAAGCTCAATGTATTATTTCTAATAAAATCAGCTTTTCATATCCAGGATCTCACAGTGCAAGAGAAGAAATATGTAAGAAATACTCAATCATCATCTGGAACAACACACCCTGTACATAAAGCCTACAGCACCCTAAACTCTCTCAGGATATAATACTGGATTGTGTTCTTTTGGCAACAAAACTATTTAACAATTCTAATGGTGCCTGGCCAGATTTCTACAGTTCACTTTGGTGGTGCTTCCAATAAAAACACTCCACAAGCCTGGTCTATAACTTGGCTCTCATTAAGTAGCTGAAGGCCTAAACTTCACGTGCATGTTCTTGAAACAGGAATCAATTATCTTTCAAGTAGCTGAACTAAATAATATGTTTGGCTAACAAAGGACTTTGAAATCATCTTGTAACTAAAAGAGACTTTGTTTTCAGTTTTTCAGGAAGCACAGGGAAGAGGAGGACTTCTGAGGAAAAAGCTTTATATAATGATATAATGGGGTGTTCATTTAATTTTAGACCATTAAATCCCTGAGTCCATGATACAACACATGGATTTCACTCCACACATAAAACCAGAAACAAAAAAAGGAGGGGAAAAAAAAAGGTACTAACAATAGAACATCAACACAGTCTAAAGTAACAATCTGAGGGGAAATCCCAAAGGCTTTGTTGGAGAATAAGAAGTGGAGACCAGAGCACCAACAAGAAGGTCAGATAACAAAGCACAAGGACTGATGCAAAGTGCAATACTAAACATCTCCTGTCTACTAATAACCACAGTGGTTGGAGATCCTTGAATTTTCACCAACTGGGCATCGACTGCCAGATAAATCCTCCCTTGTTCCTAACCAGCACAATGGCAAAGATCATGCTCACTGTACCACACAGTATGTTCTCCTCTTTGACAGATTTTCAAGGTTTTTTCCAATGCTGTATTAAAGACAGTTCTCAGATGACCAACGACTGTAGGATCAAGTCCAAGATGTGTAGCAGATGTCTACCTGCCCAGGCATCCAGGAATGGTCAGCACTGAGGAGTGTCCTAAAGCTCAGCACGTGCCCTCTTCACATCCATGAACAGTCACAAACTATGACACCTGAAATAAAATTAAGCCTGTGATTCTAGGCTGTAAACTGCCTTTGGGGCAAATCTCTTTGTTTAAGAACTGACTCACTTTCGTGAGATCATACC